AAGCATTGTGTACTTGCGCAGAAGCATTACATGTATGCACAGAAGTGTTGCCTGCATGCACAGAAGCATTGTGTACTTGCGCAGAAGCATTACATGTATGCGCAGAAGTGTTGCCTGCATGCACAGAAGCATTGTGTGCATACGCAGAAGCATTGTGTACATGCGCAGAAGCATTGCACACATGCACAGAAGCATTGCGTGCATGCGCAGAAGTGTTGCCTGCATGCACAGAAGCATTGTGTGCATACGCAGAAGCATTGTGTACATGCGCAGAAGCATTGCACACATGCACAGAAGTATTGCCTGCATGCACAGAAGCATTTTGCGCATGCGCATAAGCATTACATGTATGCACAGAAGTGTTGCCTGCATGCACAGAAGCATGGTGTGCATACACAGAAGCATTGCACACATGCACAGAAGTGTTGCCTGCACGCAAAGAAGCATTTTGCGCATGCGCAGATACATCGTGTGCTTGCACAGAAGCACCGTGTGCATGTGCAAGCATGCACGGAAGCGCACCCAAACCGGTAGTAAAAAAATTGGCAACCCACCCCTGGAGCAGAGGTTAGTTGAATGCTTCTTCTGAGGCATGAAACCCTATTTAAATCCGGGCAAATGGCTCTTGTACGAGTCCCGATTAGGCCTACCCAGCTCAAAAACGGCGGCGAGAGGGGACCTCGGAGTCCTAGAGGACGATACTTAAAACATGAGCCAGCCATGCGCAGCAACAGCCAAGAGAGCGAATGCCACCTCGGGTTGTATAAAGAGAGGCACAGAATCAAAACCATGTGACGTGTTAGCATTGCTTTATAAAGCCTTAGTAAGGCCACACCTGGAATGCGGCGGCCAATTTGGTTACCACCCTACCAAAAAGATGTTGAGGCTTTGGAAAAAGTGCAAAGAAGAGCAACTAAGGGGATCAAAGGCCTGGAGGCGAAGACACGCAAAGAACGGTTGCAGGAATTGGGTACGTTTAGTCTAGACTAGAGAAAAGGACTAAGGGGAGACATGATAGCAGCCTCCCAGCATTTGAGATAAAGGTAAAAGTTCCCCTTGCTCAAATGTGCTAGTTGTTCCCAACTCTAGGGGGCGTTGGTGCTCATCTCCGTTTCAAAGCCGAAGAGCCAGCGCTGTCCGAAGACGTCTCCGTGGTCATGTGGCCGGCATGACTCAACGCCCGAAGGCGCACNTAATCTACTGCTCAGGGAAGTTCTGTCTATATATGGTCAAATCCTGGGCGTCATTGGTAGGGCACATCTCAGAATGTTATGTTATGAACTATCAGGATGTTATGGAGTTCTAGGAGTTCGTTTTCTCCTGTGTGGTTCAGCGTGGCTCTGCATGCCCTGGTATGAACTAGGCCATGGAGGACACACACCTACACAAGGAACCATATCACAACAATAGGCTCCGGTATGCTCGTACCAGGCGTAGCGCCTGCAACCCACCACTGGCCCATTGGGCCCATTTTTTGCCCTCTCCAGACTCTGGAAGGCCGAAAATTAGCTGGCCAGCACGCGGAATGCTCGTTGGAGCTGACAGCACTCATGCCGGAAGATACGGCTCTGTGTGCTACCTGTGACACATGTGCTATATGTTCATCATCTCGGCCATATCGGGAGTCCTTGACTGACAGGCCTTTGTTTAGCAGCCGCACTGGGAAAAGTGACTTTTATGACCATTTTTCACTTTTATGACCATCGCCGCCTCTCCCTTGGTCACGTGATCAAAATTCAGACGCTTGGCAACTGGCATGTACTTATGACGGTCGTCCTGGGGTCACGTGACCCTCCCCCTTTTGCGAACCTTCTGGCAAGCCGAGTCAATGCCGAAGCCGGATTCACTTAACGACCGGCTTGCAAATTACAAGGAATCCCTTAACCGCGGTAAGAAAAGTCACATAAAATCAGGGGAAGGGGGGAATTCACTTCGCTGTCTCGCTCAGCCGGGAAAAGTTTGAGCTCGATTATGGTCGTAACTTAAGGACGCCTGGCCCTTATTTGCCTCGTCTAGACCAGTGTTTCCCAACCTTGTCAACTTGAAGATGTCCGGACTTCAACTCCCAGAATTCCCCGGCTGGGGAATTCTGGGAGTTGAAGTCCAGACATCTTCAAGTTGACAAGGTTGGGAAACACTGGTCTAGAGGGCCCCCGGTTGGGAGGAAAAGACAGGAGGATAAAAACTCCCACGCTAGAGAGATAAAATGAACCGAAGGCCACCGACTTTCCATCTCAGCGGAAATGAACAAAGCCTCCCAGTTATAAAAAGAAAGATATTTCCACCCACGGAATTATTAGCTGGTTTCATCACTCTGCACTAAATAGGCCAGGCTGTAAACACTGCCATCCTCGACTTACGACCACAATTGAGCCCCCCAAAGGCCTGCTGCGGTTCTGTGAGAAAGAAGTGTGCTTTGTCCCATTTAACGACCTTTCTTGCCGCCGTCTAAGCGAATCCACTGCCGTTGAGAAGTTCGGCACACGGTTGCGAAGTGAAACTGACTCCCCTCATTGATTTTTTGCTTGTCGAAAGGTCGCAAAAAGGGGAATCCCGTGGCACACACACACACCCCCAACCGTCATAAGTATGAATCAGTTGCCAAGTGTCTGCCTTTTGATCAGGGGGAATCACGTTGCACAGGTCGTAAGTGTGAGAAATGGTCCTCAGCCACTTCTTTCAAGGCCCTTGTCACTAAATGGACTGTTGTAAGTCGAGGACTATCTATGGGCAAGGTGGGCCCTCAGTATTTCCGAGATACTACTCGGAGCAGTCAAACAGATTAAGTCCCGGGTAGCTTTGCAAGCTGCATACTCAATTCCATTATGGCATGGAGCGGATCCATGGAGTGTTGCCTGCATGCACAGAAGCATTGCACACATGCACAGAAGCATTGCGTGCATGCACAGAAGTGTTGCCTGCATGCACAGAAGCATTGTGTGCATACACAGAAGCATTGTGTGCATGTGCAGAAGCATTGCGTGCATGCGCAGAAGTGTTGCCTGCATGCGCAGAAGCATGGTGTGCATATACAGAAGCATTGCGTGCATACACAGAAGCATTGCACACATGCACAGAAGCATTGCGTGCATGCACAGAAGTGTTGCCTGCATGCACAGAAGCATTGTGTGCATACGCAGAAGCATTGTGTACTTGCGCAGAAGCATTACATGTATGCGCAGAAATGCTGCCTGCATGCACAGAAGCATTGCGTGCATACGCAGAAGCATTGCACACATGCACAGAAGCATTGCGTGCATGCACAGAAGTGTTGCCTGCATGCACAGAAGCATTGTGTGCATACGCAGAAGCATTGCAACATGCACAGAAGCATTGCACACATGCACAGAAGTGTTGCCTGCATGCACAGAAGCATTGTGTACTTGCGCAGAAGCATTACATGTATGCGCAGAAATGCTGCCTGCATGCACAGAAGCATGGTGTGCATACGCAGAAGCATTGCACACATGCACAGAAGCATTGCGTGCATGCACAGAAGTGTTGCCTGCATGCACAGAAGCATTGTGTGCATACGCAGAAGCATTGCACACATGCACAGAAGCATTGCGTGCATGCACAGAAGTGTTGCCTGCATGCACAGAAGCATTGTGTGCATACGCAGAAGCATTGCACACATGCACAGAAGCATTGCGTGCAT